ACAGGTAAAAAAGACGTGCACTTCTTCCCGCAGTGTCACTGGGCAAAGTAACCTGCTGGATCTCACCAGCAACAAACAAGCACTGCCTTAGCTCGCCAACAAAGGCGTCATCGGTCAATGCTAGCCAGCTGGACAGCACTTCCAGAAAGCGGTGGAACTCCTCAAGCTCGCGGATCCGGCCTTGCTTCATCTCACCAGCATTGATGAGAGGCAGGGGTGGCAGATACTTCTCTGCACGACCACCAAAACTCGAAAAGCTTCCAGAACTCGCAGCAGGCCCACTCGGAGGGGCAACAAGCGACCCAGTAGGCGCCGTCGGCGCTGCTCCAGAACTGCTAGCAGCCACTGCAGCTGCAAAGGGGTCCGAAGACACCTTTCGCCGATCCTCGTCGGCTTTCCGTCTGGCTTCTTCCTCGTCCAAACGGCGGTTCAAGAGGGTCAACTGAGCACTCTGAGCTTGCATCAGAAAGTTCATCTGATTCTGCTGTTGCTGTAAAGCCGTGTTCTGGTTGTTCAGCATCTGCAACATCAACTGCTGCAGTTGTTCACCTCCCAACGCAGGGTTCGGAGGAACCGGACAGCGACCGACAGACAGACAACTTTTCCCCACTCCTACCGTTCACAACTACACCTAATGTTCTCTAAAACTCACAAAGGAGAAAACAGAAAGTGTTCCTGACCTTGCCGAGACACAGGGACACCATTATAAGATTGAAAAATCAACTACGGTGTGTGCAAATTATTCGGTTGGAGCCAAACGCACCGGTAGACCAAGCAAGAGAGTATCTCGATCTGGGTTACGGCCATTTCTGGCCGACTTGAATCGCAACGACTCGGACACCGACAGACCTAAAGGCAAATTGAACTTTTGGACTTTAGTGTGCTCGACGGAACAAAGGGGGCTGCCCGGTGTCTCAGGCTAGAACGGCGGCTGGAGCTTGGTCCACCTGTTGCTTTGGACCGCTCAGAGCGAGGCTCTTTGTGCTTCTGATCGGTTGCTAAGGTTCTGTAGATTGTGAAAATCCCATTTGACCTTGGATGTCCTGATGTTTTCGGCATGCCTGAAGCTGTGAGGAGTGCTTTTGATTTAGGAAGTGACTGCACGTTCGTTTCGTCTCGTTTCGTTAGTGCTTGAAGTGTTTTGCTTGGAGACAGACAGCTGCAAGGTGTTTCACTGTCAGTCAGAGCCCGACGCGACTCCGCTTTGGCTCAAGAAAAAGACCGAGTGCTGCGCGCTCTGTTTTTCACTGGTAGCGGAGCTCCTGAGGACTTAGAAGGAGCTTTACAGCGCCATGGCCTCGCCCTTGCCAGGTGGGAGTAGTGAGACTCCTGCTCAGAACGTCCCTGTGCCTGAGGAAGGCATGGACTTCGACCTGTTTGGACCAGGACCCGTGGGACCTGTAGGACCGGTGAACAGTCCTGTTGGGTCGCCGACAGCTCAGCAAGCAGCAGCGGCTGCACCTGCGAGTGGTTCTGCAACAGTGCCAGAAGGTGTTAGTGGTCCGGCTGTAGCGCCGGCAGCTCCTGCTCAGGCTCACGCTTCCTGTCTCACCTTGCGGTGAAAGTGATCATTACCAGAAGCGTGTCCAACCGGAGCTTTCCTCACGAGTTTTCACGAACAACGGTGTTTCCCTGAAGCATGATGAACATCAGAGTGTTTTCAGTTTGTTTGCTGTGAGAACGGACTTCTAGACGAAGTCCGGGGAGCACCTGGGCGATAGAACAGAGTTACCAGTGCAGAGAAGCCGTTAGGAGTCCTTAGGACTTGCCGCGGAAGTGAGTGTGCTGAATTCTCTGTCTGCGCCCCGTTTCACTTTGGCTCAAGACTTGCACTGCGTGACAAGGTGAACAGTTGGTTGCGAGGAAAGGTGTAAAAGTGCGTTAGCTTTACTGTGGCCTCGTGTGGCGTAGTCAGTCAGTCGGCTTGCACCTTTTACTAAACCTAGAAGTGTGCCTCAAGGCGCGTTTGGGTTTTAACGTGGTGGCGGAGCTCAAGGTTGCTCCTCAGAGCCATGGACCCACGAGCCTAGCCGCGACCGTTCCCCAAGAGGACGGAGTTCAGGGCGAAGTGCTAGTCGTGCCAGTGGAGTTTCTTCTGGCTTTCCTTCAACCCCTCGAGAGTTGAGTGCACCTGGCTCGCGGACTCGTGAAAGGTCCCTCCCTGCTCGGAACAGTCCGACAGCACACCGGCCTGTGAGTAGACCCAGACCTCTTGCGAGTGCAGGTCAAGTGCCTCAGGTGCCTTTTCCACAGGTGTCTCAACAGGTTCCTTTGCAGCAGGGTTTTCAGCAGCAGCAGCAGCCTCAGTTTGGAATGCAACCGACTTTCCCTCACGGAGGAGGGAATCCGCAGCAGGCATCTGTGCCTAGTCCAGAAGACAACACTGTCAACCTTTTCAGGCAGATGTTGCAAGCCCAGGATGAACAGATCCGAGCTCAGCAGGGACAGATTTCGCAGCTCACCGAGATGGTGAAGACGCTCGCCGTTGCGACTGCAAACGCTGCAAGTTCGGCCGCAAGTGCAGCTCCTGTTGCTGCAAGTTCGTCCCAAGGGACGCCCGCTGAAGCTCTTGGAAGCCTGGGTGCCATCAGAGTTGGATCTGATGGTGTTGTGAATATGGATGTGGACACAGGCTTGCGCAGCAACAGGGCGGAGAACTACATTCCGTCCCTGCCAAAGTTGGCAGCAGACAAGATGAGATCGCGCCATGAGGAAATCTCCACATGGACCGCTTACGGTGAAGAACTGACCTCCTGGCTGTGTCTTTTAGATGACCGCTACGCGGAGGAACTGCAAGAGGCTGTGGAGAGCGGTGTTCAGGTTCAACAGATCAGCCTCGCAAAGGGGAAGGCCGCTCGTTCCACTAAGCTGTGGTACCTCTTGAAGCAGGCTCTCGCTGGTTTTCAGCGAGGAGTTGACATAGCCAAGCTTGTCGAGTTGAGTCAAGGCGGTGCCGCTGCAGGGTACGACCTCTGGCGTGAGTTGAACAAGGAACTGTCTGTTAGGTCTCGTGTTGAGGGACAGGCGCTCAGAGAGCAGGCTCTCTTGATCGCGCCACCAAAGCACTTGAGACGGCCATTGGATATTTTTCGCCATATGATTTCTGATTTTGCTCGCTACCGCACGCTCGTTGCCAACAAGTACCCAGACCTTGAACTGCAGCAGGCTGATGTTATCAGCTGCATCTTGAAGCACCTTCATGATGATTGCAAGAAGTACCTTTTGTTGCATGGGTCTTTGACAACCTTGGAGCAGCTTGAGCGCGGTTTGGTTTTCTATGATGAGCAGCTTCGTGTTTTGAACTTTCACAAGGAAGCCTCGAACGCCAAGGGCTTTGCAGCTTTTGGTGCTGATCGTTCTGAGAAGGGTGAGCCCAAGGGTGGCGAGCCCAAAGGAAAAGGTCACGGGAAGGACCAAGGCAAGCATGGTGATAAAGGCAAAGGCAAGGACAAAGGAGGAAAGGGAAGGACAAAGGCAAGGGTGGCAAGAAGGGCGGAAGGGCCCGATCTTCGACGCCGGCTCCTGGGAAGAAGAAGCCGGGCACCTGCAATTACTGCCACAAGCCGGGCCATTGGGCCAACGAGTGCAGGAAGAGGATTGCCGATGAGAAGGCTGCTGCGACAGCAGCGGCGGCAACAGAGAGTGCTGCTCCCAAGGTGGCCCCTCCTGCACCTCCCTCGACTGCTGCGCCAGCTCCCACTGCTCCAAAGGGTGCCGGGAAGATTGGCAAAGCGGCCCTCCTTATGTCGTCATTGTTGCCCGCGGCAGGGCAGATTTCTGAAGCAATGCCTGAGAGGGGACAGTTTTTCACCATGACTGCCTTGATTTTCATGTTTTTCATGTTTTGCATGGTAGGATGCTTGATTTGTCGGTTGGTTGCATGCTTGAGTAGCCCACGGCAGTCATGTTTCACGTATGCTTGCGTAGCCGTAGCAGTGGTTGCTTTGAGCCTTGCTTCCGCGCCGCAGCCTCAGCTTCGGGATCGGTCTTCAGAGTGCCTCGCTTTTCCAACTTTGGCACTTCCTGCAGTCACTAGGGACGACCCCTCGTATCTCCTGATTGATAGCGGTGGGAGTGTTCACCTTGTTTCGCAAGACATGCTTGGAGTGACTGCGAAGCTGATCCGTGAGCTTGAGGTTGAGCCTCTCTTTGTAAGTGTCGCAAACGACCAGACTATGGAGATAACTAGGTATGGGTTGCTAGAGCTTTGGTTCCCTTGTTTCGAAGCGGGGCCCTCTGGAACCCAAGCTTACAGAGAGATTCGAGTGCAGCTGGAAGCGTATATTGCCCCCAATTCGATAAGCATCCTTAGCTCAGGCATCTTGCAGTCTTTAGGCTTTAGGATCTTTCATTATGACTATGATCCTCAGTTACATGTTGCCTATCCTCCGGGTGGTCTGCGCTTTGAGACAGAATTGTATGCCAACACGTCGTGGCTGAAAGCTTGTACCTACGTTGAGCCTGATTCTACTGATGGTTCCGTGCAGTCGGTTGAGAAGGGAAGCGTGAGTTCTGTTGTCCCGTCTCACCCTGTAGGTGTAGGAGTAGGGCTTGAAACCGTAGGAGCGCGTGTTGGTCGGTCGGTCGCTTCGTCTCACCTAGCCCACTCTTGCTCTGAAGGCCCAGTAGAACCTGTAAGGGACGATGGCTGGGTCCGACCACGAGATGGACCTCGAGATGGAGGACTCTGTGTTCCGGGTGATAAACCTGCCCCCGGAGGGCACCGAGCTTTCGGATGCAGTTCGGGCTCCCAGCCCGACGACGTCAGTGGAATTATCTCCGAGAGTTTCGGAGAGCGCTGTTCCAGAAGCCCCGGCATCTCCAACGAGCTTCGCTGCGAGCCTCTTTGCGGAGTTCCAGAACTCACCGGTGACGCCTCCGGAGGAGATCGCCATCCCGGGCGCAGGAGTGGAGCCAGAGGGCCGCCAAAGCAAGGCGGGAGCTCGTTCGCTGGCTCGCCAGGACAGCCCAGACTCTCCAGTGGAGCAGGGCACCTACGCATGGCGAGGGAGAGTGGCTCCAATTGGGCCCCCGGCTCCAATGCCGACTTCTTCGAGTGCTTTTGTGGCGGTGGAGAGCATCCGGGATCAGGTTGCTTCGGAGAGCGACGACGAGAACTGGGGGAATTGGAAGCCGACCGAGGGCTCCCAAACTATGGCCGCCAGCTCGCACGAGGACGTGATGGTGGACAGAATAAGCCAACTGGTGGGCTTTGGGGGGAAGGCCTCTGCGAGGCGACAGAAGCTGGTGGCCACGGCGCGTGGGATGCAGCAGCCAATTACGCCTCCCAAGACAACCACCAGCGCTCCAGTGACACCTCCGAAGGCAATGCCAGCCTCTACTCCAAAGACTCCACCAAAGAGTCCGCCAAAGAGTCCGCCAAAGGCCGCGCCAGCGCCGCCCAACATCTGGACAGCACCACCCCCACCCAGGGCCGCTCCGAAGGCTGCCGCTCCAAAGGTTCCAAAAGCAGCGGTTCCAAAGCCGCCGAAGGGTCCGAAAGCAGCGATTCCAAAGCCGCCGAAGGGCACGACTACAACAACGCCGGCTCCTTTGACAACGCCGGCCCCTGTGGCAACGCCGGCCCCTGTGGCAACGCCTGCCCCTGTGGCAACGCCGGCCCCTGTGGCAACGCCGGCTCTTGTGGCAACGCCGGCTCCTGTGGCATCGCCGGCCCCTGTGGCAAAGCCGGTGGCAACAACAACACCTCCGGTGGCGACGGTGGATCCTGTGGTGCCGACGAGGCATATGCCCTTCTCGGCCATGGAAGGTGCCCGGATGGGGTTCTTGGGCCAGAGAGAAGTGGCGGACTTTGCACAGGCCGCGGCTCGAGCAAAGGCCAGTGCTCAAGCAAAGGCCGCTTCGACAAGGATGCCGAGCCCTCCTCCGGCGCCCAAGGTGGAGAACACTCCTCCGCCGCCGTTGGTGCCTATGCAGGCGCCCGTGATCCTTATCCGCCGCCAATTCAGGTGTGGGCCAGGCCTACTTCGACACCGAGACCTACCTCTGTGCCGGTTCCGGCGGCACGACCAAGCTCGGCACCTACTGCGATGCCGACGGCACGGCCAAGCTCGGCTCCTACCACAGTACCCTTGCCAACGGCACGGCCTCTAGTCGTGGTGCCATTGCCGAAGAGGGTGCTGCTACCGGTGTCGAAAGGGGCACCCAAGGGTGTGCCGAAACCCCGGGCGGTGGTGGGCGTTCATTTTCACTACACCATCGAGATGCCCACGCCAGAGGAACGATTTGTGCCTCCTCCGGCACACCTCACAGCGAAGCCTGCGCCAATGGTGCCGGTTATCGACCTGGAGGAGTTCGAGACGATCTCCTCAGACGAGGATCTTTGATTGACTGCCGTCAGGTCTCTTCCGAGCCGCCCGCGAGAAGAACTGCTCGAGAGGTGGTTTCGCAGAGCGTTGCAGTAGGAGAGTTTGTGCATGTAGGTTGCCCAGCATGTTTGCAGGTAGGTTGCCCAGCATGTTTGCAGGTAGGTTGCCCAGCATGTTTGCAGGTAGGTTGCCCAGCATGTTTGCAGGTAGGTCGTGCAGCTTGTGTTCCTTTAGGTCTTGCAGCTTGCGTGCCAGTAGGTAGCTCAGCGTGCATGTCGGTCGGTCGCCCATTGATTGATTCAGGTGATGTGGGTGGTGGCGTTGGTGTTGCAGAGCTAGATCAGCTTTTTGGTGATGATGGTGATGACCATGACGGGTTAGAGATAACAGCTCCTCAGAACACCAGGCCCCCTGTAGACCCCGAAGAAGCTCTCCCCGAGAACCTCGGTGCTGAAGCTAGATTGCGCCACCAACGTCAGGGGCACATCCCCTATTGGGGTGGCTGTCCTAGCTGTGTAAGATCAAAAGGGCTCTCACCCGCCCGAACACGCAAAAGTGTCGACCCACTTGAGGTGCAGATGGATCAATACTGGTATCGAGGCATCCGTTTGATCGCTGTGGTACACGTACCGACGTATTGTGTAGGCACAGCTGCTACCTATGCAGGAGATTACCGAAAAGTCACCGTGGGGAAGCTAGTCAAATTCCTCAAATCATTCGGTCTCAAAGAAGTTCATGTTGTACATGACGGGGAACCGCTTTTAGCAGCCATAGCAGCCGAGGTTGTTGAGGTTACAGGTGGGAGTTCTGTTTCTACCAAAACCTCTCCTAGCAGGCACGCCCCGGTAGCTGAGAGAGCAATCCGCACGCTTAAAGAAACCGCTTTGGCCAACGAGCTTCACGCCAAGGGCGTGAGTGGCTTGAAATTGTTGGCAAATGAGGAAGCGATGGAATTGCTTCACAGCCATGCGGCTGCTTCACACAACCGGTTCGGAACGTCACAGGGTCAACTGTTGAGTCCTTTGCAGCGAGCTTTGGGTGAGAGTCACACGCCTCACTTGTTGTTTTACGAACGATTTTCCTGTATTCGTTGGCATGGTTTTACATTGATTTCATCATGCATTTTACTTTCGCTCCTTTAGTCGTGCACATGGTGATTCCGATATACCTGAAGGCTTTTGTTGCTCGAGGATAGTGGAAAAGTTCGTATGGTAGCGGAGCCGCGGTACAGCCAGGATTTCTGGAATCTCCTGGTGCCGTGGTTCGGGGACTGGACCCAATCCCCAACACAGAGAGGTAGTGACAAGCAACAGCATCACGACACGTCTTTGGTTTCTGGGTTTTGCGTTGCGCGATCCGTTCAGGAGCCAAGGTCTTTGATTGTGCAACTTTAGGCGTTAAGCGCGGCGGGTAGCCTGCAGACGCCGGCTCACAAGCCAGGCTGTAGTGCCATGGCTCAGCAAGGTGCACAGGCTGCACATGTGCCGGTGGATGACATTGATGATGATCTGCCAGAGCTTGAAGCGGCTGTAGGCCCACAGCTTCCCCAGCCGATGCCCACTAATCCCTTCCTTGCAAGCCCAGCTGCCTCACCTCCCAAGGTCAGATAGTGTTAGGCCCTGCCCAGCTGAATGCTTTGTTTGAACAGTTGGCTGAAGCAACCCGTGCAGCATCAGATGCAGCAGCAGCAGCGGCAGCGGCGGCGACGTCCTCTCGGGACGGTCCGCCAACCTTGACTGGCAAGGACATGCTGCGTGTGTTGCCGAAGCCTGAGGTTTTTGCAGCTAGCACTAGAGAGCAGGAGCACACGTCTTGGCCAGGTTGGTTTTGGAGTTTTCAGCAGTATCTTTCAGCTCTTGATCCGGGCTATGGGCCCGACCTTGAAGCTTTGGAGGCGAACCCTGGTTCAGTGATAGCAAAGGGCCAGGGCACCATTGCACAGCAAGCCAGGTCACGTCAGCTGTATTCGCTTTTGGCTGCACTCATTCGTGGCAGAGGTTACATGATTGTGCGACAGACCGAGAGTGGAAACGGTTTGGAAGCTTTGCGTCAACTGATGAGTCTTTTTGCCCCGCGCTCTCAGGGGCGCAGCTTGGGCATCTTGACAGCGATCACCCAGGTGCCTTCTTTCAAGCCCTCCGAGGCCTTGCTTCCGCAGATTCTTGATTTAGAGCGGGTTTTCACTTCTTATGAACAGTCAGCTTCAGAGACCCTTCAGGGTAGCGTGAAAACTGCACTTCTTCTGCGATGTTTGCCTGCTAACACAAAGAATCAGATATATGCCAGCTTGCCTGAGGATGCTACTTACACTCAGGTGCGAGAGGCAAGCTTGAGGATCGAGCGTCAGCATTTCAAGTGGCAGTCTGTTTCTTACTTTGGGACGGTCCGCGAGGCCACAGCTCAGAGGCATGATGAGGCAACGCAGATGGAAATTGATGCCGTGCAGTGGGGCAAACCTAAGGGCAAAGGTGGCAAACCGCAAGGCAAGGACAAAGGCAAAGGCAAAGGCGGCAAGAAAGGTCAGCATGCCCAG